AAAAAAAAAAAAAAAAAAAAAAAAAAAAAAAAAAAAAAAAAAAACAACTGTAACTCTGGCCAGACCTCTGACCCCTCAGTTAAGCAGGGTGTGTGTCATTGCTGGTAACATACTTAATAACCAGGACTGACATTACACTTTTATTGGCTACTTACATAAATTTCATCACTCATTCAAGAATCATTCTTCATAGGAACACAGTTAAAAAACATGATCCTCTCAGCACAAAGGCTAATGGCTCTTACCAGATAAAATAAGAATGTTCAAGCTCTCTAGCTTCCCATACTGAGCAGCCACAAACACGGGTGTGATTCCAAAGTCATCCTGGCATTCTCTGTCTGCTCCATTTTTAAGAAGCAGTTTTATAATCTCAGCATTTCCCTAAAGCACAGATACATATTTTAAGTTTAGAAACCTCTTTCTTGTTGTGTTTTACTTTTCTTATCTTCTCAATAGAGAATAGCTTTAAGGGAAAAATGCAGTGTCTTGTTACATTGGATGAAAAGATATGACTAATGAGATTACAGCCCATTAAGGATAGACATGAAATACTGGCCTCTAGAAATTTTAACCCTTAATCCTACAAAGTTAGATTGCTAACTCAAGTAGTAGGGACCTATCGTGCTTTCTAAACAAGCAATTATAATAAAATATACCAGATTCTGAGAGTTTCATAACTATGTGCCAACATTTTAAATTTAGATAATCCCTATAGCCCAAAGCTGCTCTGGTCACTCTAGCAGCTGGCTTATTTGGAATGGTTATTAGCATTTAGATTGCCTGTTCTATGTTGTACTAATCATTATAAATCACAGGTAAGTAAGAAGCAAAAACTATATAGAACTGTCATTTTAAAAGGGTAAGACATATAATTTACATGGAAATGAAATAATAAGTTTAGAGATTACCTGGAAAGAAGCCTGGTGCAAGGAATTCCATCCACACATAGAATGGAATCCATTAACATTTGCTCCATGTTGAAGCAACAGCTTTAGCACATCTATCCGCCCACTTTCAACAGCTGCAATTACAGAGAAATTATAGTCAGCAAAAAGACATTTGTAGGACTGGACACTTCTATCATGTTCTCATCATTTTATACACCTTGGAATGCACAATGCTACTGTCATTCCTAGACATTTATCATAATTATCTTAGCCCAATTTCATATGCATAGGCCTTTCTGCATGCATGAAAAAATGTTCTCAATGATACATTAAAAGAGATAGAGGATGTATACTTGGCATAGTAAACATTATCATTAAAAAAGGAGATAGAGGAAAAGGAAGCAAGAAACAAACATTTATTCTCTCTGATAATGGTGACAATATGGCTCTAGTTCATTAAAAATGCAGCTGAGTGTGGAACAGGGTATACAGTACAGAAAACTAGTCTGGAAAAGAAGTCTCAATAAATGATGGAAGGGGTTGCTAACATCACCATTTTATCACAAGTGACAAGAGTAACCACCAAAGTGAAAGCAAGTTCTACATCTTAGGATTTTTTTTTTTCCATTACTGTTGTAATTTAAAAGCAGCAAGGAGTCACAACATACAACATGGGAAGTTTATTGGGTGAAGGACAGAGAAGGGGGAAGAGAAGTGGGCAGCGACCAGTCCCAGACCCTGGGGCCGAGAGCAAAGGAAGAGAAAGAGAGAAAGACAGGAGGTGGGCAAGGACCTCCTTTTATGAGGAAATGTAGCGAATGCACACAGGGGATGCTGTTAGTGGCTGCAGCTGACCCAAAGGGCAGGGCAGTACAGATGCCTAACTGCTAACATTCCTCTCTTTTGTTTATTGTTAGAAAGGGGTAGCAGGTGAGGCGGGGATGAGGGCGCTGTGTTCTCGAGACTGCTTCTTGCTGCCCTGGGGGGCATTGGTCATCTTTGGGGGACCTGAGAAAACTAGGGTGTTGGCCACATCCTGGGGTAGCTGGCTGTTTCATTTCTCTGTTCAGGCTCTGTGGAATTGCCCAGCACTGCTTGGATGTGGCAAGATGCTGTTCATGGTGGATTCAAGTCAACTCCCTGAAGCTCACAAGAAATCATGATGAGATCACCACCCAAGATGGAGAGAGCCACATGGTTGTTGTTAATAGTTAGAGGCACATACACACAGAATTAAAGAGGAGTTGAGTAATTAGAAAGGGTGTGTGCTGAGCAAGATGAAGCTGGCTTCTCCATCTCTGATTCACACATTGCAGCAAACAGGAACATTTAGAAAGGGAGAGCAGACAGACACAAGCAGATCTTGGAACAAAGAAAAGGAAAGACCTGAATGTTCTGGCATCCCAGGGATCCAGGGAGGATCAAATGAGTACAAGCTGTTTAGTATGTTGTCACAAAAGAACAGGGGCCAAGGGCTAAGAGCCAGAGAGAGACACAGTCGCCTGGTACCAGGACTTTGAGAAAAGCTTGCAGGTGAGGGACGACTGTGCTGGAGAAATGAAGCTTCACATCTAGGGGAATGGTCAGAGGCAAGTAGCCCCACCAGAGACCCACTTGTTGGTACTGAATGGGAGGCAAAGCTGTTGGTGAATGAGAAAGCAGATTTGTTGCAGGTAGAAGAAAACAGATCTGCTAGAGGTGGCCCAGGTAGTTAAGAGTCCTAGTATGAAGTAGGTACTTTTGGCAGACCCTGCCAAGTTATGACACTAAACAAACATGCCACATGCAGCAGTTAATGAAAGAGGTTTATTGGGAAGAGGAGAGCCAAAAGTGAACGAGTGAAAGGCTGCATCAGAGTGGGAACTTGAAAGAGACAGGCAGACAAGAGGAAGAGAAGCAAGAGAGAAAAGAGTCAAGAGAGGAAATAAGAGACAAAGAGGGAAGTAAGAGGCAAGAGAAGAGACCAAGGAAGCAAGCTCTGCCTGGTGGGCACTTTTGAAGGGTGAACATCTCCAACAGCTGGCAGTGGAAAAGGACCTGGCAACAGGTCATGATATAACTGCTTTGGCAGCACAGCAGACTGCTGCCAATGCTGTTACAGAAACCAACATTGGGATTCATTAAGCACAGTTAGACGTATAAGATCCCAGTGTTCTTTTTGCTATCTATTTGAGAGAGTTCACTTAATGAAAGAGGAGATGCAGCTTAACAGACTTCATACCTAGCAGGAAATGAGTGGAGGAACAAAAAGGAAGAACAGAGGGAAGGCTTAGAGCAAAGACATGAAAAAGCTTGAAAATTGGGTACCTCCTTCCAAATATCTAATCACTGGCAGAATTAGCAAAAGTCCCATAAAATATTGGGGTCTAGAGATTTGAGGTTTTCTAAAAGACATCCTATAGAAGAGGTTGGGATTATGCTGCTAGGCAAAGTCCCCATGAATGATGTAGAGAAACAAGATCCAAGGGCCTGAACATCCTAGCATCCCAAGAATACAGGGAGGATCAGATTAAGCAGGCACAAGCTTCCCAGTGCATCATCACACAAAGAACGAGGCGAGGGGCTCTTAGTAGGCACAAGCTGTCCCCTATATCATCACGCAGGAACAGAGGCTGGGGAGGCGGGGGGAGCATTGAGCCCAAGAGACAGATGGTTTGCCTGGTACCAGGGTTTGTCCCAGCAAGAGGCAAGAAACCACAGTCAAGAGACAATCCTCACTTGTGGGAAACAGCCAGAGGTGGAGAAGGGAAACTTACCAATTGTGCCGGTGTTGGATGGAAGGCCCAACAGTCGGGTAGTTGGAATATGAGCCTGCCTTAGGTAAACTGGTTCCAGGGTCCTGGTATACCTCAGACTGCTGATGAGCAGGAGGAAGCGCAAGGAGAGCCTGCCAAGTATCACGGCAGCAAATGTTGTATTTTTAAAATGGAGGAAAGGAGTCACACCATACATACAACAGGGTCCATGTGGGAGTTTTATTCAGGGAAGGAAAAAGAAGGGGCAGAGAGCAGAGAAAAAGGCAGGAGGTGGGCAAGAACCACCTTTTATAGGAAAATGTAGCGAATGTGCAGAGGGGGTGCTCTTAAGTGGCTGCAGCTGAGGATATATCCTGTCAGGACCCTGAGGGCAGGGTAGTACAGATACCTAAATTCTAACAATTACTAACAGCAATCTGTTAAAACTACGTTCTTATAAATCCACTAAAGAAAATAGAGTAAAAAAGTATAATATATATCGCGTTCAATACTATCGGTTGTTGCCAAGTGGGAATCTTAGAAAGTTATTCCCTGGGGGTTGAGATGGCTCAGCAGGTAAAGGCTACTTGCCATCAAGCAACGACACGAGTTCAATCCCTAGAACTGACAGTGGAAGGAGAGAACTAACCTCAGAAAGTTATCCTCTGACTTCCACATGGATGCTGGGGAATATGAGTGTGTGTACACACACACACACAAGCACACACAAACACATGCACACATACATACATTATATACACAATAATAATTTTTTAATCATTTCGCTCCACATAGGGAGGGTCTACCATAGTACTACATGAAATAAGTACATGCACACCTTTATAAAATAGTAATACACACACACACACACACACACACACACACACACACACACACACACACAATGAATAATCATATATGTAAGAATACTAAATAGAAAGAGCTGACATGATTATAAGGTTTATCATATGCCAGGGTATAGTAGAGAAAGTTTTAAAAACAAGGTAATGAAATCTAATACTCAGTTTGCTAATATGATGCACAAAAATACAAGACAAATATCAGCCATCTAAAACATAATTTTCTCATTTTTTTATTGCAAGCATATACTCAACTAGAGCAAAAAGTGGGAAGTGGGCATCTAGACACGCAGTTATAAAATAAAAAAGGCACTAAACATTTGGGTAACAGGTAGAAATTGAAAAACTGGTAGATGAAACAGTGGGGAAATAAAATACTTAAAGGTATATGACAAAGCTAAGTGTGGTATCATATGCTAAAGGCATATCTTACTACTTGGAGGCAAACACAGGTGGATCTCCATGAGTTCAAGGCCAGCCTGGTCTACATAGGGAGTTCCAGGAGAGCCAGGGCTACATAAAGACCCTGTCTCAAAAGAAAAGAAAGCTGGGTGGGTGGTTGTAGTAGGTAACTGCTCCACATATGACCTTGAGGTACCAGCCCCTAGGGTATGGCCTCTGAGTCAGCTTAAGACCTGAGGGACATGTACACAGGCCCCATCTCTTCTCTCTCGTGGGCTTGGATGATGCGGACTTGACTCAGGCGGCAGAAGCAGCATCCAGGACTCTGTGATGGACTTGAATTATCCTGTTTAGTGAGTTGTTTTCAATATACTTTTCTTAATAAACAGTTCCTTTATCAGTATCTGTGGATTATCTGCAATATCTGGTGCCCCAACGTGTTGGGGAGCCATCCCCATAGCCCTAGTGGCCCTTTAAGAGTTTACCTGTCCATGCAGGCTAGCTTAATAACCCGTGCCTACTAGCAAGGAGCTCCCAGTGCCTGCCATGTAACCACCTAGAGGCCAGCGGGCCCAGCCCAGAGGTCAGCAAAAACTGCATGCCCTTTTGTGGTCACAGCTACAAGCGAGCATGCACTTGGCGCTCCACCTCCCTTGCGCAGCAGGCAAGACACTCTGGGCACAGCAGTGCTCTGTTCTGCTTAAGCACCAGGGCCCACAGAGGTCAGAAAGTGTCAACAGGCTGCTCTTTTTTAAAAACCTGTTCCATGTAGTTGCTTAAACCCACAGAACAAACACCTTCAGAGCAGTGATTCATGGTGTGCTTTGGCACTTGTGACACCTGCTGGCCAAACATCCCTACTACACCCAAAATCATCACAAAAAAACAGTCATTCACCCTACCTGGTTAAGAGCCTAGGACACTGGGAACACCTAGGACACTTAAGACAATCTCTCAAGGATAGTATAAGAGGTAAATTACTTGATAATTTCACACTTTAAACTGATTAATTAATTAATATGTAAAATAAATTTTTCCTTATACTTTTAAGTCTCTCTCTCTCTCACCATGGCAGATAATACAATCAATCAGGAATTTAAAAACGTCTTTGTTTATACTATGTATGAAATTTTACAA